GGTCTTGGAGATGAGCGTTGACCAGTCAAAGATAGAAGAAAGGAATTATAGTTTGGAACTTATACGTTAGATAAGTGGTCCTCTCATATAAACTGAACTACTTTGTTTGATTTATGACAATTTACACGCCCATCCATAATTATAATCTCATGTCACCAAACTTGACTTCCAAGACCAAAGTAATACATTAATAATAATTCTAATAAACAATTCAAAATCCCCATGAAAACTTATATCGGGAAAAGCTATATGTAGACAATATAAGGATGTAAGATTATGGGGTTTCACGAATCAACTTGTTATTGGCTACATACATCTAACGTTGAATAAACACAATTCAATAGTCAAAATGTATTAGAACTACTAATTTCCCGAATTACTATAACGTTTTTACATCAAATATGAAAATTAGATCTTTAACATATTCATTGTGGACGGCAGATAATCCTTATGTTAAACATCATTTAATAATTGTGATCCGAAACGATTTTTTCTCCGAGAAATGCAAAAGTTAGAACTCAAAAGTATATGATGTTGATTGGTGAGTACTTGCAAACGTGACAAGTGAGTGTTCAAATTCCAGTTGAACAAGTAATCTTTCATTATATCTAACCACACTTATAGAGATTAACGCAAATCTAATTTTGTGTTAGATATTTTCTAATAGTACGATCATCCATCATACCCACATCTATGTGTGTGTGTATAATAATATTATATATCTTTATCTTTATAAAGTCGAGAAATAGAAAGAAAAGGGAGAAATAAGTGCTAAAAGTACAAAATACCATTCCAAAATACGTAAAGAGCGCACTATTCAGATAACTTAGTACCCATCATTCCAGAAACGAGAAAGTAATCTAAAATATAAAAAGATATATATAAAGAAAAAGAAGAAAATGATGTAAATTAGGACGAGCTTTGCAAATTTTTTCCGTTCGATAATACTAGTTCTTGAAGTTTTCCACACACTAAAAAGCAAGAAAACTAATTATTTTATATATTGAATATAGTATATTAGTAGTAATGAATAGTATTAATTAGTACTTATATAATATCTGCATAGAAATTTAGAAGATATATATTTAAAACGAAAAATAGATTAAAACACTACTCGTTCTAAATGAGAACGATCGAGTAACGTATTATACCAATAGCTACTACCTAAATTTGATAAAACGATTCATCGAAATAAGATAAATGTCTTACATAGAAATAACACAGGATTGATGCATCATGTATCATTCTGTCATGCATGATTTGTTTTTCGATTAAAACAAAAACAGTTGAATTCAAGTGGATAATATCAAACTCTTTATTGAGGAGTGTGGACTTACTTCATTCTTTTGGCATATGCTATCTTTTACGG